TACTTAAGTGTATTTTTGAAAGTTTTGGGGTTTAGTGCTGGGATTGAATTCTTGAAGAAGATTTCAGTACATATTTTTATATGTGTCTACTGAAAAACTATTTATAATTTTCTTTTAATTTGAGCCTCCCTCAAGCAAAAAATGGAGAAGTTTGTGGTTGGAATTGGCTATAAAATATTTTTTATGTCTTTTACTGTATTTGCAAGCTGAGATCATAAGGATGTTCTATCCCCATAGTTCTGCTGTTACACTAAAATGATATAAGCATGCTACAATTGCTGTTGCAAAACCATTGTCTGACCTTTATTTTAAAAGAACTGCCTTGTTAGGAGCAGAACTAAATGGTGAGTATGCAGCTATAGGAAACAATGATCACTCTACCTTGTAATTGTACACTATAATCAGAAACAGGATGGCACAAAGTTCAGACTTCGAGATTAGAACCCTGTACAGAATAAGAAAACATTAGGAAATGCTTCCGGGCTGAGCTTATTTTAGCAATGTTGGAAATGCCACAGTAGGTGTGACTTGTATTGCCAGCACGCTTGCATCAGGTTATCCCAACCTCCTACAAGCAAGTCTGAGAAATGTTACTTGAAGGTAATTTCGAAGTCTTTCTTCTGTTTTCCTGATAAAAGCAGTTCCCCTTGAAATCAACACAGACTTACAGAGTGTACATCTGAGAGCAGAAGCTGGCCTGTAAATTAAAGCTTCAGTTGCCTTTGAATGTGTTTTTCCAATAAAGTAATCTTGAGGTGATTTCTGTGGTGTCGTGCTGAGAGAGTCTGACACCATCCAGCTAGGACAAGTGCCAGATATTCAGGGTAAGTCAAGCTTGACCAGAAGAAATTGTGTAGTAAACTAATTGGGGTTCCCAATTACCAGGCTATCATGAGCAATATGTGGTTACAAATATAAAGGTTCAAAATTTCTCTTACAATCTCTGAAATCCCTAAGTACTTGAGAAAAAAAAGAGCTCCTTATGTGAACGCATGTCTAACAAATTCAGGAAAAGTTCAACAGAAAATTTATTTCTATACTTTTAGTTACATATTAAGAGCTTTTACAATGGTTATAGTGAAGGAGGAATGGCAACTGAAAATGCAAATGAAAGAGGAAGATGAGGTAGACTTGAAGAAGGACAGAGGAGGAAAATGTGCTTAAGTTCAGTCAAAAATGTAAGCAGCTCCTTGAAAATGCACTGAAATATTAAGTAGATACTGGCAGCGTGCATGGAGGATGACTTGTAGTAGTGCATTCAAAGAAAGTGTGGAGAGCTATTGCAAAGAAAACTTAGTGACATTCTCTTACCTGGAGCTACAAGTGGCTAATAACAGATCTACTTTTCTCTGTTCTCTGTCCCTACTGGAGCACCAGCTTTCCCTCCTGACACTTGCATGTGGTTTCCTCTGCTGAGAGGAAACAACAGGGAATTGCTCACTTGGATGGAGGATTTCTTGAGGGCATTTGCCAGTACGACACTTGTGTGATCTATTGAGTCTATATCTGGACTTCTCAGAAGTAGGAAAAAGGCAGGCATACCTGTTTTACCTTCTCTTATGGAAAAAAACCCCCACTAAATAGCAGATTAAAGACCTATTCAGTCTTGCTTTTCTCTCAGAATTGTAAAGCTAGGTGTTTGCATCCACACAGGAAGCGTGCCCCATCATTGCAAATCCCACATATAATTCATTGTTGGAATTGCTGTTGGAAAGCAAGTGGGATCTTATTTGCAAAATTGAAGTTTCTGGTATGAGTTTTGGCAGTTGTGCAGAGCATTGGAACTGCAGAAAGCTTGTGTTGCACAGTAAGCTGTCACTCATTCTGCTCCACAACACAATGAGAAATCTCCCAGCTTTGGTATGTTATGAGTAATAGTGCAAGTCATTGAATTAGACAGTCTCGCGGGGCAAGGTGGCCTTGCCCCAGAATGAGCCAGTGTTTCTGCACTAATACTGTTTTGATATTACTTCATTTGTATGCTTGCTTAATTTAGAACATTTAGTTATAATTGAAGACGTATTACAGTATTAATTCTGTAGCCTATTTCTTATTCTTGGATGATAGCTCGCTCCTTATGAGATCAGGGATGTACTCAGGGTTGTGCTTTTTTCCTACTGCTGGAATTCAATAGGGTTGTTAAAAGGCTTTGTTACCTACACTCTTTAAGTGGTAAATATATTTGTTAAATGTTTATCACAGACCTACAGCAAACAGGCTAAATACAGGGGGGAGGGGAACCACTTAGTTTCAAGTTCAGGCTCTGCGCTTTTGAGGTAAAGGCTTTGTGCATGTATCTCTAAGTGTAAATCCTACCCCTCCTTCTCCGGTTTCTTCTTTATTCGCTCTTCCCTTTACTTAACTGGAATAACTTATGCTTCTGGAATAAATATTCTGAAAAAGCAACTGCGTGGGAGTTTTGCGGTCACTTTGAGGCCAATTTCAGAATAGTTTTTGCAAAGCTTTTTCTTGTGCAGTGTGGTATTCTGTCTTAATAAGGAAAACTAGACTTGCTCCAATTTCACCTAAAAGGAAACCTACCAGATCCAGGAGGATTGTTTGTAGCTACAGTATTTCGGTAAAGTTTTCCAAAGGAGTACAAAGCCAAAAGTTTTACCAGTTGCTCTTGTAATACTATGAATCCCATGTAAAGCCTCCCCAATAATTTGAACAGAGTTGCCTCTTCACATTTTATATACTCTTAATTCGCACAGGAAAATAAAGAACAAAAGAGGAACACAGGCCTTGTCCCTCCTGGTAAGCATAGTGTGCTTCTCTTAAATCATCTATGAAGGGGGGCCAGTTCTTGCAGAAGACTGCCAGAAGGTTGCACTGAGCTGTGCAGTTCATACAGTAAGAGTGTTACTTAGCTTGGAAGGGACCTTGGGAGCTCTCTAGTCCAATCTCTGGCTCAAAGCAGGGTCAGCTGTGAGTGGGTTACTAAGGCCTTTATCCCATGGGACCTTGGAAAGGGATGGAGACTGCACAGCTTCCCTGGGGAACCTGCTCCACTGCTTGGCCATTTCACAATGGAAAAGGTTTTCTTTCAGTTGTGTCAGAACCTCCCCTGTTTTAATTTAAGACCACTGCCTGCTTGTGTACGTCTGTTAAAGAGCCTTATTCAATTGTTTCAGAATAATCAAAAAATATTAAGGACCCTTATTCAGCTGTTTTACTTTGCAGGTATTGGACTGGGTGTCCTCCCTACCCCATGCCCATCTTTTTTTTTTTTCAGTCTGAACAGACTCAGTCCTCTCATCCTCTCCTAACAGGGCATTTGCTCTAGCTTCCTGACCTTCCTGATGGCCTGATGCTGCAACAACAGCGTTTGCTAGAGATGGGCTTTTCCTCTAAGTAAGCCTCTTGGGGGGTGGGGGGGGAACTTCCAATTCTGTTTGTAACAAGACTTAATAATATCTCTAGTGTTGCTGTAAGAATGGAGCTGTAGGATTCCAGGTCTGCCTCAAATGCTTATCTTAACTTACAAGTTAGCTTGTTTGTTGAGTAAAGCCTACTTCAGTTTGGAATTCCCTGACTCTGGTCTGTAGTGGGAGCATTCACTGTCCATGAAGAGCTCTTGTGGCTCTAGTCTGAGGGCCACTTGTGAGAGCAGGAGGGTGCAGTCTATCCAGAGCGTGGCCTAGAGTCTTGACTGGAAAATAATGAAATGCAATTCAGATTGGAGCCTAATGCACGCTGTCACAGCTCCGCTGTGTTGGTAGATTTGAAAGAACATAACGGAGCTCTGGAAAAACAGCAACGAAAGACAAACCTAAGGTTTCACCCTCAAGGCTTCTGAGCTCCTTGAGGCTCTCCCTGATGAAGGTGAGTCATGTGGCAGCCTTTGTGTTTGAGGGAACAAAAAAATCTGTGCCCTGGAAGCAACTCCTCTTCTTTGATACAGCTGTCGCTGCTGGGATTTCTCAGCTGGGTGAGGTGTTCGTGCTTCAGGGAGAGGCAGGTGCTCTGCCGGGCTGGTATGGCAGCGGGGGACATGGGTAGCACTGCTGTTCAGGGGGAAGCGAATCCTGTCAGAAACTTAACCTGGGAACATGCTGCCCTGGGTAATGAAACAGTAATGGCTTGATGCCTGGTGCTGGATTTGGAGACTTTTTGGTGTCAGATTGTCAAGTTGTAATGTTCATGTAGCAGGTGCCCTTGGGACTTGTGACTGATTTGCATCACGATGTTGTTTTTCTCCTTTCCTCTTGATAAATAACATTCTTTGCTAATTGCTTGAGATTTTTTTTCAACTATGATTTTGTTTTGTTTTGTTTTTTTTGCCCAGGATACTACAGAATGTCCTGCTGATCCTTTTTCCTGTTGTTTTTCTTCAAGCCTGCATGCCGTTCCCGGTTTCCCCGGCGGCCCTCGCTGGGAGGTGAGGCTCTGCGGGCAAGGTGTGAGGAGACAAACGGTCGCCTCCCTCCGGCGATCCGGCCTTTAGCCGGAAACAGGGGAAAGGGTGTCCCGAGAACTCCGGGGTTTGCCCCCGGTGACGAAACACCGCGGCGTTAAACACCTTGTCCTCGTAACCCTTCACTTCACGCCTGCTCCCGGCGCCGCGGCCGGGGCCGGGGCCGGCACGGAGGAAGGCGGGCGGGCGGGGCGGTCCGCCATCCCGTCAGCGCCTCTGTGGCGCGGCCTGGCGGGCGGGCGCCGCCCGGCAGGTGGCGCTGTAGCCGCCTGCGCCGCTCTCGGCTCTTCTCGGAGCTGCGCTGCGAGGAGCCCCCGTGTGTCCGCCATATTGGCGCCCGCGCCGCAGCTGCTGCGCGTTGTTCCTCCATCTCCTGCCGGCGCGGCCGAGCGGAGCCGAGCGGGGGAGGGGACGTCGGCGCCGCCGGGCGGGAAGCGGGGCGAGGAGGCCGAGCGCTGCCGGGAGGAGACGGAAACGAGCCGGGGCCCGCGTCCCTCCGCGCCCGCCCCCTGCGCCACCCGCCATGGCGAGGAGGCCCGGCGGCCCCTGAGCGAGGCGCACACGCACACACAGACCGAGAGTAGCCCCCCTCCCGGCCGCGGCCCGGCCCGGCCGCCATCAGCGGAGAGAAGCCGCCCGGCTCCCGCCTCCGCCGCGACATGGAGGCCGTGAAAGCCTTCAATAGCGAGGTGTGTAACCCCCTCCCCGCTCCTTCTCCTCGGGGTCGGGGAGCGGGCGGGTCCCCGGGGCCCGGCGCCTTCCCTGCGCGCCTCGTCGCGGGGAGGGGGCGGGCACCGGGGGGGGCCTC